TCTCATCCATAATTGTAATTTTTAAAAATTTCATTGGTACATATATATTTACATATCTACAATGATACCTAGCATGGTTTTATATGAAATCGTGAGAATTAGTATCTAGTTGAAAATGATTCCATGTAAAAATTGTTTCCAATTGGACGTATAAAGAGTGTTCACTATATATATTCTGATTGCTCGTGGTCTTGGCTATAGTATCGTGTAGCCTTTTAAATGCATATAACGATGTATTGTTATACGTCAAAGATCACTCCTTCAGTCACAGTAAGGCATTCTTGATCTAATAAAACATTCGGAAAAATTGAATTTTTGAGCGTTGCCATATAAAGGGTTTATGAATTTGCAATGGGACACAAACCCTTTTTTTCGTTTTTGAAATATCTGATAGACCATTTTTTCAAGTCAAACGAAAAAACGGGGTTATGTCCCGTTGCAAATTTATAAAACTTTTCTTGTTTTATACTCTATCAAAAACGTTTTTTCCGTTTATTATTGTGCGGATTTTTTTTACAGTGTAGGCCCACATACAATAGGTTTTTTTAATTTCAATTTGAATTTATACGAAAAATTAGATACTCGATTTCGAATAGAAATAGGAGACTAGTGGATATTCAGAATTATTCGTTACTGTAAATACTATAGACCTGATAGGCTCACCATAAAAAAACTAGGATATATATATATTGCAATGGATAATTCTAAAGACTCCCTAAACCTCGTAGCTTCAACATCCAAAAAGAGGAATATAGATACAAGGTGATCTACCAGTCTTGGTCGTTCTTAGAAAAATGACTCGTTCTCCCTTATTACAAATCCAAAAACTCTCAAAATTGTAAGTTTAATCTCTTGTAAGTAGACGAATATTACTGTAAATTTTCAGATCTCTACTCCTCATTATAGGGAAGGTATATTGGTTCGTATCACAGAGAAGATTTCTTTCCATGTCCCAAAATAAGTCAAAAAGCTTTATTCAAAAGAAATGTCAAGAATAATTCATTTTCACTAGTAGTCCAATAATAAACAACAGAATATTTTACATTTTCATAAATCATTACAGGCCTTTTTGTTGACTGAAAAATATCCTTTGCTAATTAAACAGTGTAATCTTTTTGGTATTAAATTCATCAATTTTGAGCACATTTGTGGACTGATTGTGCTCCAAATCTCTATAATTTTGCTTTTTAACATTGAGTTTTTATATTTTCGAGACGTTAATATTTAGTAAAAGTGATCGAATTAAATAAAAACATTAAAAATGAACTGTTGAAAAAACAATCGCAAAATGAAAACTTGTTGAAAAAGATTTGTAGAAAATGAATGATGGACAAGAGTAATATGTTAATATACATCCAATCATAGTTAAAGATATTTAAATAAATGTACTATGATCATCTAATTGATCTTAAAATATAATTCGATTCCTTATGATTCTCTTAATATTTCCTCCTTCTGATGTTCTTCTTCTTACTTTTTCTCTTATTCCTTGTATGTAATCCCTCGCTAATCTGATTCGAGGACATGAAAAAAAACTTCTCTATCAAATGAATCTATATATCCCCCCTTTTGATAAGAACTAGATATCTGAAAATTTAGGGTAATATTTGTCTAGTTATAAACCATTAGGCTTTCAATTTTGAGTGTTTTGATTTATAATAAGAGAGCATGAGTAATTTTTCTAAGAATGGCCAAGACTTTTGGATCACCCTTTCTATACAGTAATGAATAATTCTCAAGACGATCTATCCACACCAACAGAAACAGGGGGAAATAAGTATATATAATACGAAATAATTTGAAAGATCAACTAGACCACTATTTCTATTTGAAATCAGGTGTCTTTTTCCTCCTTTAAACTAAGATGAACATCAAATAGACCACTATATGTGTAGCATGGATAGCCTACTTCTTATGTGATCGTCATTTTGTGTCATAGAGCTCTTAGTTCTCAGCTTCGCAGGTGGATTTGGTGAAGTCGTCCTCGAAATTTCAATACGATAATTAGCATGTAATATAAGGTTCACTTTCAAAATTTGGCTTTTCTAAAAAGTCCTTTTACTCGTGTCGCTCAATGCAAAAAAATGCTTATGATGAAAATGAAATGGCTAGTTTTATTTTTAAACAGTTTTTGAACTAAAAGATTTGTTTCTGTATCAAAAAAAGAGCGTTTATGGCTTAGAAGATGAAATTAAAAAAAAAATTAATAAAGTATAGATCGCTCTTCGGAAAAATTACATATCATGTTGACGTATAGTTTCAAATATTAGTTTATTTGTTCCTATATTACAGCATTGACATTGCATAAATCTGGACGTGAGTTAATATTGCGATCTTTGAGACACATTAAATGAGTGTGATTTTTTTAATGTAGGCGATCGATTTATATGTCACAAAAGTCAAGAAACGAGGCTACTTTTATTGCCACTATTGTGTAAGTGTCACGGAAACACTTTTTGTAATATATCCAAACACTACAGGCCTTATCGTATATAAGTACGGTTGATATTGTTGATAGATCATTAATTTTTCTTAAAATGTTCGTATCATATGGGAAGGTTACCTCGATTGAAGTCGTCCTGTCGGATTCGATAGGATCTCGAAATTATCTGACAACATCCGACAGTGGTAAAATTTTGAGATCCGACGAAATCCGATACTATTAAAGTATCTACGTAGTTGTTACACTTGATTCAAAAAATCATGGTAGTGAATTTTTATCATTTGTTGTTGAACGAGTTATTTTGATTTGACTAAAGATGCGTATCGGAGAAAACAAAATTAATATGAAAATAATGGTTTGCTTCTGTTTCACATCAATATAGATCAGCGCAATAATAATGCGAATAGTTAAACAGACACATATTTATAATTTGTTTTTGATCAATGAGTATCAGTGAAGCAATAAGTTTGTTTACCTTGAAAGAAATATGGAATAATCAAAAGATTTTCACCGAACATTTAGAGTTGTCTCTTATTTATCAATATGAGGCAAAGATCAAAACAGATACACTTTGGAGATTAAATCATTCAATAAAGAAGAGCACTTCTGAATTTGAAGTTCATAAATGAGGATCTACCAGGTGCCATGAAAAGAAAAATGAATAAAACATTTTAAAATGTCTCACCTAATTTGTGCACTATTTTCATTTTCATGTCCATGTTCATTTTCCATTGAAGCTGAAATAACGTATTTAGCTCTTAGCAACAATTTGAAATGATTCGAAATATTAAATATATACCTCACAGAATTCTTCGAGCAAGTCGAATTCTTTCATCCGATATTGCATAAATGTCACGTAGATGTTTGCGACATTTTGGTGCGGATTCGACAAAAAGAGTTGCTTCGAAAATTTTCATAAATGAAGTAATGATTACTTTTATTTCATTATCAATTAGTAAAACAATAAGCATTTCTATAAAAAATCATTTAACCCAATTGGTTTTACTTTATAAGGAAAACAAAGTTGCTACTTGATCTTTTTCTTAAACCTGGATTATCGCGTAAGCAATATTACTTTATTTATCGAGAGTATAGGCACGATTTGAATTAATTTTGTCGAACTTGAATGCTGATTGATCTTCTCTTAGACCTATACAAAATGGAATTGAAGAATAGGTACTTTGAAAAAAACTGTCACCTTTAGAAATGAATTGATGAAGTCCAGATTGTAACTGTTTGTTGACTGCAGGATGAGGTAGTGGTATATTTTGTTCTTCATAAGCGCTCTTCATTTTCGAGCAAATGCCATCTGAAACATCTACACACGTAAATATATTCCTTAAAAGAAAAGTGTGCTACCTGTATTTTTTGATCAAGTTAACAAACTTCGTTATATATTTTAGTGAATCAGTTTGACAAATCTGAAATCAAGTCATTCTCATTTATAGATCGTTAAATGAACATTTATTTTTTAATCATTTTTTTACGTGAACTACCAACGTAATTCAAGGGAAAAAAGCTAGAATCATAATCAGACATAATGACGTAATGACAGAAAATATCTGCATATCGAAGGTGACAATTAACAATATTCAAACAGTGGAAAAAGGTAAATCATGATGAACAAAAATAGAATTCAACGATGAAAAAATGTGTCTCATACAAAACAATTGATGAAGAGATACTATTGTTATTAAATGAGTATGACAATAGAAAATAAAGAATCTGACTAAGGTAATGAGCAACTTGTTATTATTTAACACAAGGAAGTCAAATAAAATCAAATAATTAATATGTTGATTGGCATGATATCTTCAGCAGATTGCCACTACACTATTAATTAAATTATTCATAGAGACATATTTAGAGTTTTTAAAGCAACTTGCATCATTTATTTTTGTTGAATAACCATATATTGGTTTTGTTTTGATGATAAAATGATAAGATTTGTTGATGATATGAAATGAACTGCTTTTATTATTGTTGGTATAGGTACATTTAATGATGAAAGAGAGACAAATTGAGAATGTTTTAAAGTGGTGAGGTGCTTGATAAAGTACTAATTGTAATGGTAAATAAGACCAAGTACTATTAAGTTCATGTAGTTTATTAGCAGTTGATGTGTTTTTATTGGATGTAGAATACGGAGAAGAATACTTATTTTCCTTATCCCATTGACGTGGTCGTTTGCCACCAGAATTTGGAGTTTTATTCTCTATTTTTTTTTCGCTTTCTCTCATGTCTAGGATTTGTTTTATGATCCCTATTTTTAATCGACATATCTACGAAAAAAATAAAAGTAACTTCGCTAAATGATTTATCAATTTTTACTTTTATACGAAACAGATAAACTTTAAAAAATTAATACATGTGCACAGTATCCCACAATACTTGAACAGGAAGATCGAAAAAGATGCTCACGATCGTTCATATGCACAACATGGACTACTTCTTCATCCAATGAACGAACAATAAAAGCTTTTTACTTGGGATCGAATCGAACTAAATCTTGCTCATTAACTAAATCGGGACGTGCATTATTAGTCAACCTTTCCCGTTAAAAATTGCCAATAACAACATGTGATGGAGAAGAGACAGAAATCTGTTGATCGTCATCATTATCACCAGAGATTGACAAAGAACCTTGTTCTTCTGAAAGAAAATTCGTATCATTAGCTTCAGGCACAGACGTTCGTTGCTTAAGCAACATATTTTTCATTCGATCGACAGCTTCATCACATGAAAATAATGCAACAAGACATAAAAGCGATGGATCAGTTTTCGAACCATTATAATCTTGTCCTAGATGATAACCATCTATAAAAGACAGAAATAATACATAATGCAGATTGAAAATTAAAAGAGTGCAGAAAATATTGCACTTACCGGTACAACAATACCCACGCTTTACCTCGTTCACATAAAGCCGTTGACCAAATAAAATATTTGAGCAAGGCGATCCAACGATAACTCTTTCCGTGCAAGCCATCTCTTGAAAAGAGCATTTAAGCTTTCAATTGGATTATTAGTAACATATGATACTTAATTAAAAGGATTTAGGTGACGACTTGACAATCCACCTGAAAAACAAACTTAAGTTATGAGAAATCGGAAACCATCTCTTCTTAGATGACTTGACTTAAATCCCTTCAAGATAAGTGGAGATATCCTTTGAATAAAACTTATTGTTGATTAATATGTATGAAAACTCCCTTCTGAGATGACTCAACTAATTTAGGGCCAATTTCTGTGCGTTTAAACGCGTTTTCTCAAAAGTTTGTCTGCCTGGGCAGTGGAGTGAGTTAGATCTCGTTTTATGTGCTGCAACAAAAATAAACAGTTTAGCTGACCTAATTCATCTATTTTTGGATATAGATTTTTGTTAAATCAATCACGAAACTTTGTTGGCTATTTTTTGAGAAACTATGTTGTATTGATTGATGAAATCAAGTTTAGACGGTTCTCCAAATAGATTAGCGATTGTATCCATAAGCTTATTTACAATTTCTTTTCTTGTCTAAAAAGACACAGATGTATCAGGTAGGATATCTTAGATCAGGATTCGACATTTTCTTGAATAGATTCGCTCTGGAGTGCACCTCATCTCAATTCAACAGCACTCCAAGTAGAACTCGACGAGCTCTATCAGACCCATATGTTCATTCCCCGGAAAAATCACACCGTTTCATAAAAAACACAAAATACCGCAAAAAAATGCCTAAAAAACAACACAAAATCAGAAAAACCCGTTGCGATTCGTCCAGGAGTGCACTCCAACAACGCGACACACCTCGACAGATAGATCTCGACGAGCTTTACTAACTGTTCGTGTTATGACTCTACCATACGGGTAATGATAATCGGCCGAAGTTGAAACTTAAGACCAAAGTAGTTTAATTCATTAATTGGCTATTTTATTGATGTACATCTAACGCATTAACATTAAAAGCGCCATTAATCGTATGAGATGGCGCCTTTATACGAAACGTATTAAATGTGTTCGTACGAAAAGTTATTTTTTTTATTAATCTGACACCTAAAATTAATACAATTACAAGGGTGGAGTGTGGTTGTGGGTCAGGGCTCGAAACGGGCCACTCATTTGTGGCCCGGCCCGGCCCAAAGCGGTTCGAAGGTTTTGCAGACCCGCTCGGCCCAACTCGTAATGGCTACAGCCCGGGCCCAACGCAAATTTTTTTTAAGAAACATTTTATCCAGAATTAATCTTAAAGATCAACACCATGTTTCGAAAGAAAGTTTTGTATAGCACACCACAGATTAATTTATGAATTTAATGAGATCAGATCATTGAAATGATAACATAAAGATAAATTAATAAGTACAACGATCATAAGAAAATATATCAATAGATTGTGCATATTAAAAAGCTGTTGGTTTACTGTGCTGTCTAATAATATTTCGATAGAAATGGCTATAACAAAACTTTTTGATCATTACTCGATCTGATGATACTTATAAAATTTTATAGACGAAAAAATTAGAATTTTGTCGGGCCGGCCGGGTCGGTCCATTGTGCCCGGGCGGCCCGTTTCGAGCCCTGTTGTAGGTGTGAGTGTGGGTGTGGGTGAAGGTGTGGGGTGCGGGGTGTGGGTGTGGGTGAAGGTGTTGGGTGCGGGGTGTGGGTGTCGGTGAGGGTGTGGGGTGCGGGGTGTGGGTGTGGGTTTCATTCAAGATAAGATCTACATCCACACCCACATCCATCATTCACGCGACAATAATAAAAACATTACTGCTAGCAAACATATAATTCAAGTAAATGGCGTTTCACTATTTCTAGATTAATTTTCTGGAGTAATATTGCACGCATTTCTTCGTTGAGACGCAGCTCAAAAAAATATTTTGTAAAACACTGTTGAATCGTGATTACAATGATTCCATACCGAAAAATTTTGCCTTTGTTGAAAATGGAAAGAGAGTACGAATCTTTCAGAAGCGTTTTTTCTCTTTCCCAATAACATAAATAGGACTTTTTATAGATTCTTCTTCATCTCAGAATACATTTCTTAGTACATCCAAGAAGAACATAAAGTACTATAAACTTTTCTTAGTATGATCATTTTTGACAATTCTACATGATAAATTTTTATTAAAATCCTTTGATTAGATATAAAACGTTTTAAGCAAATAATATGATTCATGAACTCGCTGATATACTATGAGTATCAAATGTTTATTTTTTTGCTACACATAATTAATAATAGTATCTGCAAGATAAAACTTTGTTGTGGAATAATTCTAACATGAAATTGATGATTCAAAAGTTTCCTATCATAACAGTGATTTTTTCATAAATTATGACTTTGTATTATAAGGATGACCACTTACAATAAATTCATACCTATGCATCTGGAAATGATCAATATATTTCTCTTCTATCATTAATATTTGTAAGAGAAGTACAATCTTTCTGAATATGAAAAAATTGGTTGATATAAAACAATATTCATAAATAAGAAACTATTTCCATGTTTTCTTGAAGTAATCTTTTCATTTCTGAAAATCATTTTGGGAGATTTTTCTAGATAACTGATCAAACTGTTGGTAGTTTTGGAAACATTATGAGAATAAGAAACAATAATTAGATTTTTTTTTATATAAGTTGACAATGTATCAAACGTTTCTGTGAGAAAATATGCATAATTGATTTTGATCATGCATTTCTTTTATAATAACTCTGAATGAAAGCAGCATTTTCTGGTACTTCAATGGAACGAAATTAAACAAAGAGATAATGCATCATGTAGCCGTTGAAAATCTGTACAAATTTAAATAATTAGATTTACAAAATGCTTATTCAATACAGCTTATGCAGTTCACATATAGAACACAGTATAGAATCTCATATAAAAATAAGATATTGTAGCGTGAAAATCACATATAATATGTTTAGAGAACTATCAAATGTAGTCTGATCTACATAGCTCTTTATGTAGATTATGAATCCAAAATCAATTTTTTTACTGTGAACAAACATAGCCTTTATAATATCTGATTACCGACCAAAATGGCTACTGAGCACCATCATAGTGCACCAATTGTGGTCCCTACTAAAAATCGAGGGTCATCTCTTTGCACATTGAGAAATATACCAAAAGATGCAGAATTTCAAGGGCTTTCAGAAACTAGATTCTGATTTGTGGGATGGAACCATTCGACGAGGCTAGAGGCAAATTACTAGCTAAACGACGACTATAGATCATAGACCCCTCCTCTCTTGTGGAAGCACAATCAATTATAAAAATTCATTGTAATGACTACTGAAATAACTCATTTTGTAGAAAATTCTTTTCTGCATCTTTTGAGACCTCTTCCGACTTAAAGTGATACACAAAGGCAGAGAAAATCTCAAAATACAATCAAAATATGAAAAAAGTCATTTTTTTAAAATTTTTATGGTCCAAACACAAAAAATTGACCATTGTGATCTTCGGCATTTTTCACAAGTATGTCAGAAAAACGTGATATTTTGGATTTGTAGATTTCTCTATATGGTCTTTCGTTTGCGCTAAAAAAAGTCAAAAGAATTTAGCGGGGACCGGCTTGGTCGGTGGTCGGCAGACCCTCTCTTAAAGTCTAACAAAGTCGGGCAAAGATGTTTGAAGGTCGTTGGAGGATCTTTAAAAGTTGTTTCAAAGATTTTGCGAAGTCACATAAAGGTGTTTCGGAGATCTTTTAAATGTTCAAAAAGTCTTTCAAAGTCTCAGAAAGTCTCTCAAAAATGTTTCAAGGTCGTTGAAAGATCTTTGAAACGGCTGATTTGAACTTTGTCAACGGACCAGAAAGAGGTGCGGTATAACCCGGATCCTGCGATCGAGACGAAACACCGGAACTGTATTTCGTAACCGTGCCGGAAACAGCAGGTATACGAGTGGGATCTGGTTAACTTGGCATAAAACAGGAAACTTAGTCGGGAACCGCACGGGAAATGAGAACCGTATCCGAACATCTCACCTGGGTGCAGGAACTGGCGGGAACGGATCCGGATCCAATTTTGGAATACTGCTTCCAGGAATTGACCGGAATTTGACGGGATTCTGCCGTTTCCCGCCGTACATGTTTGATCTGGGATCGAGTTGATAATATTAATGTCTTTTCTTTTCGAAACTATATTCTAATCAATTTATAGTTGTAATTAAATCTATTAATATCTGTTAAATAAAATAGTTATTATTATATAATCTTGAAAATTGCAAATACTATCTGAATCCTTTGTGTTTGATAAATAGCTCAAAAAAAACTTTCTTGGTATAAATATTTTTGATGACTTAGACAATCACAAAGCAAAACATTCGTATTGTTACGTTAGTGTAATACTATCCTATTTAATGTGACTAACGTAGTTTCATATTGAACCGAAAATAGCGTATATTAGCCATCAATTTTGTAAAAAGAGCAGTTTTAAATAGCATTTCGATTTCTGCAGACAATAATATTTACGAAAAACTAAAATGAAACTTTCAAACCGATTTTATGATTCGAATCATCAAGAATTGATAACCAATATTATTGCGCAACATATATGTTTAGATAACCAATCAGTAAAATCTTTTAGAAATAGATTGTTATCCATTAATAGAGTCGTCACAACTATGAATTTTATTATGTTCGCTATTCTATTTGAGTTTCATTTACGTATAGTGATCCAAGCATAATGTTTAGGTATTCAGTAGCAGTGTGGGAGTTAAAACTGGGGTAGTTATAACTCGAGTTATAACTTTTGAGTTATAACTGATCAACTTTTCGATGAAAAAGTTAATTGAGTTATAACTATCAACCGCAGTTATAACTATGAACTCGTGAAAATTTTGAACAGATTTGAACGAGTTAAAAGAGTAATCACTTTCATTTCATTGACATGTTCGATAGTGCAGATGAAAATATACCTATTTGCAATGCCCTTACGTCCGAAAACCAGCATTAATGAATTTATTTTCTTTCTGGTTTTCTTTGTGATGTATCCATCTGTAAGTTACACTTTCTCATATTTATACCTCACGCACTAATGCGATAAACAGAGTTGTGACCCGTCGAGAATTCCCAAACTAGCCCAGTTCAAAAAACGTTTCAAACCGATAAATACTAGCGGATGCTGGTGGGTTAATTAAGTGATTTACTATTATTTAAAGGGAGAGGATTTAAAAAACACTCGTTTTTTTTTTTTTTTTTTTTAGGATTTTGAAATCTTTAAGAGGACATATCATGCCATAGTCGTTTATATCTATAAGGTTTTCCAAAGATGAATATAGGAAGTTTCTCTCGCGCGGAAAAAAAGTCAGTTGATCAGATAGTTGATTACTAGATGTTTCTCTTTCAACGCTGCTTCAATCTTAAATATAGTCTCTGATAAAACACCAATAAGATAAATTGAGAAATCTGCACCGGGTAACACAGTTTTCATTGTGCTTTTCAAAAAATGAAATAAACTTCGATTAAAAAAATAGAAATATTATAAATAAACAGAAGAAAATCAAAGCGATAGTTTTTCAAACGATACGATTATTTTGATAAAAGAACTGTAACATGCACTCAACATATTTTTCTAGGAAAAAATTGTATATCTAGAAGATTGTGAAATAGGAGTGCTAGCTTAGCATTACCGTCGGCATTAATCAATACAGTTTTTAATACTTTTTTATATGCTTAAGCAGCGTTGGAACCGGTCCGGCAAACCGGTACCGGTTCAGAAAATCAACCGGGCCGGTAAATACCGGAAATTCGTCGGTTGAAAATTTTCAAAAATCTTCTTTGTTAACCCTGTTTTTCACCATAAAAACTAAGGTGTCACATGTTTTTCTGCAACAATGCATAAAAAAGTGCTCAAAACATATGTTATATGAATCATTTTTTCTGAGGTTCTCTTTAAAAAGATAATTTATGATGAGTTTCTTTTACATGCGCGCCTAAACTATTTCATATTTGGAGCCATTTTTTCTAACAATCGTTTCTGCAAAAAAATTCGACAGTTTTCCGCCGGTTTTCACCGGTTGGACATGTGCTTTCAACCGGCCGGACCGGACCGGTTTACTATTTCTCAACCGGTTCCAACTCTGTGCTTAAGTGTTGATCAATGTCAATGCTAATGCCAAATCAGCACCCCCTATAGAGAAATTCATTTTTTGATCCAACACTGAGGAGAGCAGGAATGAATTTTCCAATAAATTTTTCTTTGAAACCGGCTAAGACCGATTGATGTAATCATTTCAATCGGTTCGATTCGGCACTGTCCGGTCCGGCTGCAAGCTTGGGAACAACACATCCATTGCTGTTCAACATTGAAAGTTTTGTCCTATATTAACAGTTACGAACGAAACGTGGAAGTTACAATCACTTCTGCAGCAAAGACAGTCATCAGACACACATAATTTTGAGTTAAAACTGTAGTTTTGAAGGTTTAATAATCGAGCAGATCCATCAATGCGCGCAATTCTTATAGATTTTGAACTAGTTATAAATATCAACTGTACTTATAACTATCAACCGCAGTTATAATTTTGGACGATAGTTATAATCGTAAACTTTATTCAGAACCAGATTTTTATACCCACTAATCAACATAATTTTTTTTATGTTGCTCGTCACATCAAACCTATTAGACAAATTCACACCCTTAATAAGGTATGTTCACGCTAGATGTCAATGCGCTGTCGTTCACTTGATTCTCCTAAATCATTTAGCGAGTATTTCTCTTTGTCTTTGACTAATAGGAAGATAATGGTAGCATGTTCTATTCTTTCAATCTTCTCTTCTCTTTTCTTTCACTTTTCTTCTCCGTTCATCGATATATCAACGAGAAAGGCAATAAAAGAAGCATAGTAATATATGCATTGCCATAAGTAAAGCGGACTTATAAGAATGAGAAGAGAATAGTCTGATAAATTAATTTGGTGTCAAAATAACACATACGTGATTTTACTGACAAATAGCGTTCTCTAAATTTTGTGACAAGCTAGATCGAATTTCATTGCTATGTCAGAGACTAAACGTTAGAACTATACTATCAACTTTTAAACTGTGTTCTCAATTGCTCATAATTCAAAGAGTATCATTTGTCATACAATGAACGATCCGTTTCTCGAATGTGCATTAGTGTATGAGGTAAAAATATGAGAAAATGTGACTTACAGATGGATACATCACAAAAAAACCTGAAAGAAAATAAATTCATTAATGCTGGTTTTCGGACGTAAGGGCATTGCAAATAGGTATATTTTCATCTGCACTATCGAACATGTCAATGAAATGAAAGTGATTACTATTTTAACTCGTTCAAATCTGTTCAAAATTTTCACGAGTTCATAGTTATAACTCGGGTTGAAGATTATGACTACGGTTGATAGTTATAACCCGAGTTATAACCGTTTTAACTTTTCGCCGTTTTTCTCAACTATCAACTTTTTAAAAAACAGTTTTAACTTCCACTGTTCAGTAGTAAAAAGACGAAATATTCACAGTAACAAAAAAAAATTTAAACATATTATTAATTACATCATTTATTGAATCTACTCGAATATTTTATATTGATTTTTTTTATAACTATTTAATAAATGTAAATGTTCTATTATTACTGTAAATTTTTTTTTTTTTTATATTATAAAGTTGACTTTATTGTATTAGACAAACATTTAGTAAATATTATTTTGATTTTCAATCAACGACGAAATATGACAGTTTCACAAAATATTATTAATTTCAACGTAATTCCACTATTGTGAATGATATCTTAATTATCCTGATAATATTGTCTTTGCTTACTGCCATCTTTAAAACGTTTTCTCTCAAGAATTGGTTTTCAAAAATTTTCAACATATTCAGAAGAAAAAAAAGTATTTAGGATATTGTCTGTATACACAATAATATACATAAATTAACCAAACGCTTTTAACAGTATACATAGGGTATCACTAAACTATTATTTAGTATTTTTGAGACTGCAACATTTATCGATCACTGCAAAATATCAATATTTAGACAATATATACTTTGCAATGTACAAAGTAAAAGAATGAGCTTAGTTATTCTAAACAGAATTTCTCTTTTATAATGAATATATTGTAGTTACTAAAAGTCAAAAATAAATAAACATAGTAAAATTTTTTTTTCTTATGCACGTGGACGGTGGTCTCAAGAACCAAAACTCACAAAATACTCGTTCAAACGCAAGGCAAGAACATCAAGATCGAATTTGTACGGATTTCTTGGAAGTCGTCGATAGGCCATTCTTTTCCTTTACAGATGATTTCCAAAAAACACTAATTTTAAAGGGCCTATCTTCGAGACAATTGAAAAAAGCTGGAACCAAAACTTAGCTTCTAGGCTCTGTGCGTATGTCTCAGACAGCTGTGATTGGAGATGATGAATCATAGAGACAATTAAACTATCATCGAAAGCGTTCTTTGACAGCATGTCGATATGTGGTTCTAGAGTATTCGTAGTGATGAAATTTATCATGGCTACTTTTCAACTCGGCCTTCATTTTGATCAGTTGATTGATGAAAACGTAGCGTTTTCGATCTATAACAATCGAGAAACATCAAAGCTCAGTAGAACGTAAATAACTTAACTAAACACGCCATTCAGCATTGGTCCAAGAGTCGATTTTTCCTTTTTATCAAGTACCATTTTCTCGAAATATCGAAGCTCATACTTTGCACCGCATTTCGTATTCGAGTCGAAACTTGAATACCATCTAATTAGTTATTGTTTAGTCTTCTTATTTGATTGCAAAAAATTTTAAATATAAAAATCTTTTTATTATTATTTTTTATTAACCTAGTCAGAACAAAAACAAGATTACAACAGAGGAAAATAAACATAGAAGTCCTTGGAATGAACTAATGTTTCTGGAATAATTATTTTTTTCACTTTAGCACAATTCAGCCGCGTTATATCTCTTGTGAAGTTTTCCGTTACAATTGTTAATTTATCATAATCGACTTTTAATTGAGTTAGACGAGGTAGGAGTGTTTTTGTTTCGTTCAGAAACTGCTCGACATAATCAATATGAGACATAAACAGAGAAAGCGAAATAAGATAAGGATATTCAACAATTGAACACAATTCATGATCAAGAGAGTTCAGTTTGTCCGATATCTCTGTTTGTGATTTAAAATTAAAAATATGTAATTTTTTAAGCAAAGGAAAAAAACGAGCAATTCGAACGAAAAATTCATGTTTGAAAGGAGCTCTATCATGCACCGTCAAGCTTATAACATGAATAAAAACAATAGGTGAAAATGTATTGCCAATATATTCAAGATGATCAAACACGAACGGTAGCGAAAAAACATGACATATAGCACGGCCTGCGGTGTAGTATAGAATACAGTCGACGTGCTGATATCCTATATTAGTAAAAGTTCGTTGAATATCATCGCTCGATAAATAATGAACTAAATGATGAAGTTCAGTTTTGGTACAAATATGAAATGTAAATTTATTAAGTCGCGGCATATGAACAAGAATTTTATTATTTATTTGAGTACCATCGACAAATGTATTTCGATCCGCGTTCATAATATCCAAAGTTAATTCTTCAAGATTTGACATACGACGAAAGAAAGGTAAAATTTGAGTATCATATTCATTATTTAAGCAAAAACACGTTAATGAGAAACATTTCAAGTTAGGTAGATCATCCTAGAAAATAAAAATCAACATTTTTAAAACTACTATTATTGATCATAAAAGAAGAAAAATTCAAATGAATAACTGTTTGAAAGGATACATTTCTATTTAATTCAATTAGAAATATTTCTTCAACTCAATGTTATAGGAGAATATATATATATTCTTCTACATTGAAAATTGAAAATATAATGGGTTTTTTAAACTTTTCATACATCGAAGATAATCTGATACTGCTGAACAACTCAAGAATTCGAGATCAAATATATACTATTATTATAAAATGAGTGTCTAAAAGTAGTAAAAATTGTTTATAGCTATCACAGAAAAGTTAGATTTCTTCTACATCTCAGACAATTAGATATATCTTGAAAATATCTGAACATAAACATTCTCAGTCTTATATTTTAGAGAATAGTTTTTGACTAAAAAAACATAGTATGAATAAATCTAATATGTAACAAAAGTTAACAGTTTGTTTATTCAAATGAAATTCAATCATTTGGTTTATTTCTTCAAAACAACTCATATGCAACAAAGTATAAAACATAAAATTTCTTATATTTGCTCATCGAATAGATCACCATGATTACACAAATATTTAATTATACATAGTTGATTCAATTGAGTATAGTAATATATTAGAAAACAATCTATAATATTACTGATCAATAGCATTGTTTTAACTTTAAAAATTAATAATGTATAAAGTTACCATATTGTAAACAACTGTTGAGTCATTAGCTGGATAATTAATAATAACAATAAACGTCGTTAACTGTTTGAGGCGACCATCAAGTAGAGCAAGACATTCTTCAAAATTATTCACAAAAACACATAACTTGTAAAGAATTGAAGAGGAACAGGCAGTCAAAGATGAATTATGAAGTGTTAAAATTGATGCTGATCCAGTAATAGACAAATGTTTTAAATTTTCGAAGAATTTTAAAATATATTCGTGCACACCATTTTGATATTGCCTCTCTAATAAAATGTTAATATCGCTTTTGTATACAAGAATAAGATCTGTAATTTGTTGTTGAAAAATACGTCGAAATGGTGATTGATCTAAATAAAAAACAAAACTAGATATTGTGTAGTGTATATACCGTTTCTATGAAAATCTATACTCAGATGAGCATCGAAGCTTATTACCTGTAAAATAACATGAAGCGATTTGATCCTTGAAATTGAGCAATTTAAGTTCAGTTAGATTAGGATAATCGGCAGTGAGAAGAATACGTTCTATAGATTCTGATTCAAGAATAAGAGATTTAATATTGTGACCAATTCTTGGCAAAATATTAATGCAGAATCGATCGAGCATTGAATCTGCAATCGACACAATATCATCAAGTGACGTTGTTGATACAAAATTGAGAGTCTCAGTAAACGTTTTTCCTTGCACTATCATATCAAGTCGTTGATTATCAACATCCAATAATGAATAGAGAACATTTATATTATCAAGTTTCTTTAAAATCATAATTAATATTTCGTTAGGTAGATCAAGAAATCTAACATTTGACTGATTCATGTTAATTGTGACTGATGATTTGCGTAAGAAGAATAGAACATATATATATATCTATGTCTGTTCATTGCTCGTTCGCACCTATTGTCGTCATTGAATAAAATAAATGAATGACCCCACCGGAAAAAAAATAGTGAATGAATCGTCCAATAAATTCATAAATGAACGTTTCTTGTTTTCTTGTTTATCTATGATGTTATTATGGTCGTTAGATTCTCTCTTCTCATTCATACGTTATCGACAGAGTCTTATTCAGACAAAAGAATTAATGAAAAATGGTTGCCATATCAAAAATTTATTGAATTGTACTCACAATTATTGAGTTTAATGGATAGGAATTGTACTTTTGTACATATTATAAAAAATAGAATTGAATATAAATAAGCAGAATATAATATAATTATTTATTCTGTTAAATATAATCCCTTTCGATTTTATTTAATGTTCTGAGATCAACATGACATGAGACTATCTGCGTTTTTTTAATATTTATTATGCTTTTGGTTTTTGTGTTTACTCTGAACACAGAATACATATACATAAACTTTTTGACCTCATTTAATCTAATAAGCACTGGCATATTAATGGCGCTCACGATAAGTTTTTCAATACATTTGCTTGAGTCTTACAGTGCAAATTAACGATTTCACGAAATATTGTGAGTCAAGTAAATGTTGTATTTTTGTGCAAAGTCAATGTATTTAATAGATAAAGATCAATTCAATTATTCTTAGTAGTGACTGGCACATAATCAAAATTTAGTTAGTTTTAACCGTAGCATCATTGTTAGGTTTTCATCCACCATCTTGACTCATTATAAATAATGCTAACTTTCAAATTAAAAATAAATGAATTAAAACTGTTTTTATATTTTATTTGAATTAACCTCATTAGAAGTTTGATCTTGTCGATAACGATTTTTTTATTGTGTAAGATTTGTTAAAATCTATAAATCTTCATTGAATACTTTCTATTATGAAATTCCTACATAATCGTATTCATTGATCTTTTATCTTCTAATGAAATTCGTAATAATCGGTATAAGATATCTGTCAAAAAAGAATTTATTTACATTATTTTTATTTTTTATATGGTTTTGAAATATATTATTTTCTTATATTATATATAGAAAGTTAGTTTCATTTAACAGTTGAGCAAGGATATGGTAATCAGTAAATGATACAATCGTTTTCCAACTTGTAGTCAATAATTATTCTTATTAATTTATTGAGCTCCTTAGAACATGTCGTAGTCGATGCTTGATGTTATCCTCTTTGCATATACTTAGGGCATACCAAAAGTAGTGGTGCCAGTCCTATAATATTTTACAGAAGGCTTTATGAAATTTTCTTTCTATATATTCTGATAGCCCAAGTCGTGCTCTATAATTCTACAATATTTCATCGTTCTTCAGCTGATTCGATAATAATGAAGTTTCGATGTTTTAAGATTCGTATAGAGTTTATGAGAAACGGACAGAAAAATCAAATACCTTAGAATTAATTGAAAGGTATCACGTTTTGTAGAAAAGTTTTTTCTGATCATTTTCATAAAAATATTTTTAGGGCTCGACGCGAAAATGGCAGAGCTAGGGTCGAAATACTGAATCAATAGTTTAAAAAACGTGCACTTTTCAGACTTGGGGCCTCCAGAATACCCCCACCCATACAACTCAGAGAGAAACAAATGTCACTTTTGGGCTCAGTTTTTTATGGGCTACACCGTGGTGGGATCAAGTTCGTGGTGATTTGAGGTCTTGTATAAAGTGGGCGGAACTGTGTGGAAGCGCCCTTAACACATCAAAACTTTATTATTATAATATCAGCTGACGAACTGTGAAATATTGTAGAATTATAGAGCACAATTTGGGCTATCAGTATATATAGAGAGAAAATTTCCTCGAGCTTTCTATAAGGTATTATAGTGCCGGCGTCATTACTTTTGGTATGCCCTAAGTATTATAGTGGGCAGATGAAATAAATGTTATTCGATCTCTCTATTACATATTTAACAAATTTCCTCTTAAAACAGAACTTTTATTTAGATATAATTCTGTAATTATTTTTCACTTTCACCACCTTTTGCATTTTAGGAAAGAGAAATCGAGTCATCGTAGAAGATTCTTAAGCAAATCGAGAACTCGGCCACGCTTGTTTAATCACATCGTCGCCTGACCTTTCTATTCCTAAAGCAAATTTTGCAAAGCCTCGCGTTTAGTCACCTTGAGATATTTATATATTTTAGAAAAAAAATCCTGAAACAGCGTCTTAATATACATGAAGAGAAAGACTAAAACTGAATATTCATTGGCAGCTTTCTTTCAAAAGTTTGAGATTTTGTTTTTATAATCCACACATTGCTTTGAAGTAAGTTAACATTAGGAAAATTTAACAAAATGTTGTAATTATTTGTTTTAATATTCTTTTCAGCATAATCGAAGAACACGGTGACACTATAGCAAGAAACTGACTCAAACAATTGGCAAGAAGCTTTCAAAACAATAGTTTGTGTTCAAAAGTCGATGGACTTTTACATTCTACATGTTTTATCGATGATAAATGGTGAATCTCTTTTGACTTTGTCAACGTTGTATGATCGAATGTTGAATATGAACATGAGACTAAGCAATTTCTTTTCTACAGTGAAGTTGTAATCGGATTTGCTTCGATTATCAAATTTGATTTGAATTTACAAGTCATATTGTTTCCAATTAATGTTAGATGACAAACCAAAGTAGTATGACTTTGTTCATTTATTGCTACAAAAATGAATTTATGCAATAGAAATGAGCGCTACATTGCTACACTTCTTCCATTGACACGAAATAGTTGCTAAGCCATCCGTTCTACTTTTAATGTACTGTCCAGATCGAATCAAAATCTCAATGTTTAATCGGTTATTGACTTCTCACATTGTGATTCGACATTTGAACCACGTGTATAAAATCGTTGTGGTAACCATCAAACAGCACTATTACACATCTTTCTTGAAATACTTGTTCGATGATGATTATTTCGACATCCACAAACTCACGCCATACAGCTAACTGATTAGCAGGTCATGATTGTTATTTGATTTACATATCAATATACGACCGATAAGTATAGGTGAACGGCGAGTAATATGTATTTTCTTTCGTTTTCGAATGCATTTCTAGAGTTACTTGCATGCATCTACAAAATAATCAGGAGAAGGATGTTGTATCTATTATATGAACTACAAATAATGTTTTCAAAATAAAGTTTGAGTTTATTTAATGATCAATTCATATAAAAAGTACCAAAAGTCAATGAAGAAATAAACAATTTTAAAAGAATTCAGATTTAGTTGAAAGAACAAGAGGAAAACGACAAGAAACAAGTAGAACATATAAAGAGTGACTTTTAGAAATGCATTGCTGTATAGTTGATTAAGAATATTATAAGCTACGGTAAGATAAAACATGAGTTATGCTTTTTTTACTTTTATTTATGTAAAATATTATTGCTTGTGCAGTGTAAAATAGAAATTAGATCCAGTTTATAGAGAATTGACATAGAAAAGACCCAAATACTTTCAGTTTTTTTTATAATTAAACGTGTTAAATGTTCAGCATCACTACTTGTACTATCAACTGTATGAATAGCAATTATTATTAAAACAGAATATTATTTTTTTTTTATTCAGTAATTGATGAAAAATAACTTCATCGTCATCATCTCTGTTTTGTTTAGAAAGTTTAAAAAAATATGATGAACGAGATGCCTGTACAAATATAGATGAAAAAAGTAAAGTGCTATCAATTATAAATTATTTAATTTAGTTAAAACATATTGTAAAATGAAATCAAAAGTAGTCAATCTGTCCAAATTCCAACTGTTCTTAGCTTTTCAAAAATGCAAAAGAAGGCTTTTTTAATTTTAAAAATATCAATAAATGCAATTGCTTCGAGTAGAAATTTCGACACATTTGCATAATATATATATATATGTAGCATTATTTCTTTTTATAGTTTCAAGGCTATAACGAAAATCGGTTTTTCATTTTACTATTGCTTTAGTAATTATTTAATGAGCACATTCATTAATAAAAGCAGGCCATAAAAAATCCACTGTAATAACGTTTCTTGTGACATACACAGGATTAAATTAACGGAGATATTAATTAAAATTTTGAATAATTGAATCATTTGTATTCTTTTTAGACTTTCATGCATATATATGAAAGAGAATTTTACGTTAAACATAAAAAAACAATAGAATGAATATAGTTACAATTGGATGGAAGAAAAAATCATGTGGTGAACATCAATATGCTTCTAATATATAACATATTAAACAGCATCTGAATCAAAAACTAAAGAGTCAAGAGAAAAAAACCTGCGAAAAAAGGTTTGATTCAACTTCCGTACATGTGCTTCTAAACAAAAAGCATTTGAAATTATAGAAACTAATCTTTGAGGTGCTGCTCGATTTCAAAAATCAGTTTTTGATGATCATAATCATTTTTCATCAATAACAAATAGTTTCGCTACGGAGTAAGATAAAATATATTCATTTGATTCGAACAAAAGATACTATTCAGATTACCAAAAAATGATAACAAACAAATTTGTGGTATACAAGCCACAATAATTACATTTATTATTGTGATATTAATTGTCTTAGTTGTGACTATTTTTGTTGGTATTGCACTTAGTACTATCAAATCTCAACAAAGTGCATCGGGAATAATGACACTAAATAATAATCAAAATGCATCGTAAATAAATCCTCTTTTTTTGTTGTTTGATTAAGAAAGATTATTGAAAAGAAAAAAATATTTCTGTGTTTCATCAGTATCAACAACTATCATCACTAGTAGTGTTAGCATAGGAAGTTAAACTGGAGCAGCCTGGTCATCATATACAACAATTAATGATCCTTCACAGAATGTCGCTCAAACTGGATTATATGACTTCTGCGATATAAGACCACTATTCAAAGCGAGTAATAATGGATCTTGGATACGATTTGTTGGTACTA